CCAATATAAGCGGCTGCGTAGCAGGAGGAACCAAAGCTATGCCGCCTTAATCCAAGAGGCGCAATTAAGAGTGCGAACCATGCGTGGAGGATTTGGCAGTCATCCAAACTTTGCCTCTCAGCGTTAAGGCTGGGTATTGCCCTTTTGCCCAGGTATTTCTTGAAGGGAAAAAGATTGATAAAATGATTAAGAGTAGAGTTTCAGAAATGGGGAAAACGGTTTCCTGCCCTAATTGAAAAGGCGGTTCTTACGAATGGTCTTTTAGATGTCTTATCCCGAACGTTAACACTCTTCATTTCTTAACAGTTTTCATGTAAAAATGATAAGCTGCCTATATAAATGGGAAATTTTGCTAGTAGGTCCCATTTTTCCATGCAGCTCAAGTACTCAAGGAGGGCGGTTGTTCGTACTATTCCAATACGATTTCTCTAGATGAATTACGATCCACAAGTAAAACATTTATTCACAACTTGCACAACGACAAAGACATATGTTTCTATAATTTTGAGTTGCCTTACCTAGTGTGATTTGCCATTTGCCAGGTTCCTCGCCTGTCAGGGACGAGGCAGCTTGCCCATCTTACCTGCCTCCCGTTTCCCTCGGCTCCCCCAAAGAGCTATTGCTGTTCTCAAAACATAATGTTAAACATTTCCCGTCACTGTGAGAACGCACATCGACATTGTAACAAATCATGAATTGGGGATTCATGACACTCCCCGCACACAGAAAAAGGAAACATGATTTTTTTTGTGTTGTTGTTTTTTTTTTGTTTTTTTTGTTACCATCTTATGATAAGCAATTAAAATTACATTTGCATCTACAATATACAATGCATACTTCTCATAATAAGCAATTTCAAAATTTAAATTACATTTAATCTAAAATACACAATGTATACTTCATCTGATGACGGAGATTTTTCCGATTCGCCGTTGATGATGATGATGACGACATGGTAGCGAGGGACTGCGCGTTCTTTTTTTGTGTGTGTTATAGTGTCACATGCTTTTGTTGTACTGAGATCTGAGTATTCTAGTAGTACATTGAGTATTCTGGCTTCTCCTCTTGTATGCGGTTTTCCAAGTGCTCGTGTCTTTTTGCAATGAGAGATAAATTCTGTAAGAGTTCTGCAACTGACCATTCTTTACCAGAGTCAAATTCTTTCTTGAGAATTTCCTCTTGTACGGTTTTGGGGAATGTTTCGATTATCATACTTGTCATTTGTGTGGTGTCGACGCACTCACCTTTTCTGCGTAAAGTTGCAATTATTGTTTCTACATCACTGAGTGTGTTTCTGAGCGATCTGGCATCGTCTTTAGATTGTTTCATATTTTTTAATTGTCTTATCATTGTCATGGTGGTTCTTTTGGGATCTTGGTACAGAAGTTTTAATTGGTTTATTGCTAATTCATATGAACTTCCCGTTCTTGGTATCATTCTCAAAGTTCTTGCGGCGTCTCCTTTGCAACAATTGAGAAGAACTGAAAATTTTTCAATATTAGAATAGGGTTGTTTGTGAACTAGTTCTTTGAATAGTTCCCAGAATGAATCAAACTCTGTTGTTTTACCGTCAAATTGTGAGATTTTCAATTCGTTTCCGAACAAACGGTGACTTACGATGGTGGTTCGATCATTTTCATTCTGTTTGCGTTTTTCCTGTTCTTTTTTCACTAGAGCTTCTTGGCATTGGAGTTCAATGATCCTCTTTTCTAGATTGTCAAATACCTCGGTGGTGGTCTCCAACCAAAAATCTCCTCTTTTTTCTTCCCCGTATTGCTCAAAGTTACTTACATTTCCATCCTCTCCTAATTTTTCTTCAGAGGTATTGATGTTGCCTACACATTCATTGTAAAATTGCCATATGTTCTCTTTCTTGCTTTCCATTCTTTTGCTTAATGCTTTTACTATGATCGGTTTTGTTGTCAAAAAGTTTTCCAAGTCATGCATTAATGGGGGAAATTGCCATGGTTGAGCATATTCTTCAGCTTCTTGTAGCATTTTTCCCAATTCATTGAGTTGTTGAGTTAGTCTTTGCTTTGCTCCTTTTAGGTTGAAAGCTGTAATGGACATTACGTCGAATCGTCAATCGTCAATCGAGGTCTCGGTGGTCTCAAATAAAGAAAATTTTCAACTGGAGTCTCGTCGGCTTGACTTTCTTTTGTACTGTCTCTTGTTTTTGTTGTGTTTCTCGTGTGCTTATCTATTTTTCATCTTGTGAGATACCTTCAATGTTTATACTTTGCATATCAATAAATCTTTTGCGAGACACTTTTGTTTTGAGAATTATATTTGTTTTGAGATTCTAATATGAAATTCCAATTATTTTTTTGACAATGCTTATTTTGCAATGTTGTACCCTTCCGGCACTTTTGTACCCTTCCGGTACTCGCCGCTGTAACTTTTCGGTACTCGTCGTATAGAACTTTGTACCTTTCCGGTACTCTTCATTTGAAACTTTGTACCTTTCCGGTACTTTTCATTGAGGCAGCTGCGTTATAACATTTTTTGAAGCGCTTCTATTTTCCTTTGGTTTTCTTGAAAGGTAGGCACGGTGTAAGGAAAGGTTTTGTGCTCCGGAGGGCCCCTCCAAAGCATTTCGCACTATATTTCCAATTACCTTGCTTTACCTTGCCGATTTCTGTCATGCTATAGCTGACCGTCCGGCCTATTTTCGAGTTTGGCCGATGCACCATGTTCGTACTATTCCAGTACGATTTCTTTAGATGAATTACGATCCACAAGTAAAATATTTTTTCACAACTTGCACAATGACAAAGACATATGTTTCTATAATTTTGAGTTGCCTTACCTAGTGTGATTTGCCATTTGCCAGGTTCCTCGCCTGTCAGGGACGAGGCAGCTTGCCCATCTTACCTGCCTCCCGTTTCCCTCGGCTCCCCTTAAGAGCTATTGCTGTTCTCAAAACATAATGTTAAACATTTCCCGTCACTGTGAGAACGCACATCGACATTGTAACAAATCATGAATTGGGGATTCATGACAGCGGCGAAGCAGAGCAACGAAAGATAGAGTTACTCAAGCAATCAATTTCGGGATTGCTGTGATGTGAAAGCAATACGAAGAAAACATTTATTTTTCAAAAGACCGAAATGAAGGAGACATATATCTTCCAAAAGAATGCAGAAATATGTTCAGACCGAATCAGAAACGTCTACTTCTCAAAAGGGGTGAGACATGCAGCTCCAATATTTGATTTCACCTTTTTAGTTCTTGTCTTTTCCACACGAAAACTATCTCTTCGAGTACCTTTGTTCAAAAACTTGCTAATATTGCTAAAGTTCATCTTATTCGCTAATTAGCTGCTGCTGCTGTTTAGTGTCAATCGATAGCTGTATGATGACCTTTGCAGAAAACATGCACAAATACGCACAGTGAAAGCCAGAACGGAATGGAAGAACAAACTTATCTGAGCAAATTCATTATCAAATCACACAATAAACATTCTCATTGGGGGGGGGGGGGGAACGGAGACTGAGAGCAAAGAGATCATTGGAACTTATCATGACAAACGTCTATAACAGGCACATAATCCACATTGAACGAGAAGTCTATCTATTCTAGTTTTCTGCATGCACTAACCTCTCAGTATAGAAAATCTGAAAGATTCTGGGGCATGCATTCATGCAGAAAACATATCATGCAACAAACTTTGTGAAACTTCTCTTATCGGGGACATGCAATCGTGCAGGAACATTGCATGCAGTAGACATTGAAACTGTTGAAACTGAGGCGCATGCATTTGTACAGACAAAGTTGCATGCAATAAACTCTGGAAATTCTGGTAAAAATAGGGATGCATGCAGTAATCTATATCGCCGTATCGGACGTGTATCTGGACATCTTTAAATATTCCTTTACTAGCTGATAGCCCCGGCCTCACCCGAGGCTCCAAATTAGTTTAGCTAACAAAACATATAAACTTACACTTCTAAACTTCTTCAATCATGCGCAAAAAGCGCTTTGAGACGACTTGCCGCATCTTCCCGACTTTGAGATAGAAATGGACTCTACCGCCCCTGCTTACATGATTATGGAAAAATGATCGGTTGGAGCATGAAAAGTTTTCATTCTTCTGAATTTGAGTAAACAAATCAATAAATCAAAAGGGCCCAGTAAATCGCCACGAAAAGTAGCCCTAAACCACCGCCGGGGTAGAAAACATACGTGTGCCAGATTTAGCTCAATCAGTTCAATGGCTGGCGTTTCTATAAAGCACTAACAATCTAACGAACATCCTCACAGACATTGTGTTTTATATATATATATATATATATATAGATTGTGGCTGTGTTGAAGTCATTGCTACTACGAATTTCCTCGAATGTGGCCATTGCGCCTTCAACTTTCTCCCTCCTCAGGCGATCCCTCTTCCTAAGCATCTTGTTGCGGCCTCTTCTTACTTCCATCCCTGCCAATGTGCCTTTAGCCACAGATGTGAGGCTTCGAAAGGCTAATATTAACTGGCCCAGCGGCGGGTGTCTTTTGCCGAAAATTTTTCTGAATTTCCTAAAATAAGGATTATCAGAGGAGACTTAGAACAAGAATCTTTAACTAACCCATTATAATTCTCAGCAGAGTTAGTCGTTCGTTGAACGTCTACCCCATTCTTGCACCACAAGTTTTGAACGGCCCATCGAGCCATGTGTTGCGCAAGTAATTCAAAAACTTCTTGCATGGGCCATACGCAGGATGTTCTCTTTCCACGGGCGGCGTTCGCATCGCACTGACGTGATGGAAATGCTCCGTGGGTAGGAATGGTAGCCCTTTCAGGGTCCTCCACCATCGAACGACTTGTGCGCATCTCCCGCTCCCTTTTGAAAAGTGAAGAATCCCTAGGGTATTCCTCTTCCTCACCCAAGCTTGGCTCAGGTGCCATGCGCAGCCGCCCTGCACAGGAGCACTCGGGAAGACAGTCCTTGCCACATTTATGGCCGCCAATTCGAAATCCAAGATGTTCCTCAGTTCCGATTCCGTTTGATTTAAGCCTTCGGCAGCTTCTTGTATTGCGACTTTGAGTTTGTTGAGTATGATGACATAATCCCCCTTGCGCTTGTTCTTCGTGTTTGCGAAGAGGAGCGGTATCTGCAATGAGATCTATGGAAAACAAAATTAAAAATTTTGCAAGCTCACCTCAAATCTCCTGCGCAGATCTCATGTATGGTGTACGCCTGTCCCCCTTCCATGCCCACCGCGGTGCCACGTCGACTGCGCGGGTTAAGCTTGTGAATTCCGTCTCCAACAAGTGCGAAGAGATTGTTCTCAACGGCTTGCTGAAAGCGAACATCTGGTCTATAAACAAATTATAAGAACATGACCTTGACGATGATCTGGAACATGTAGATGTGCAGATCCGGCTCTTGCACTAGCAGGAAGGTTTCCCCTTCTGCAAGAGTTTGTAGTGCTTCAGGAACGATGGTCATCGTCACTTCGCGGACCGTTCTATTTACAGCACTGAATCATTGCCGTTAACGCTTGAGTAAACGAAATTTCCTGCGTAATTTTCACCAATTTATAGCGCTTCGTCTGCTTTCGTAGCCATTTGTCTCCATGTAATGCGCCATCACCGATGTTCTCTTCTCAGCATCTATAAATGGCTGAACGTGATTTCTGAGTTAAAAGAAACTCTGTTCACCTCCCCAACTCATCGTTTCAATGTTGTCCACAACCTTGTGAAAATAGGATAATGTTGGTTGGAGTTTCGTCTCAGGATTTTCTCTCACTTGCGAGACACTGAAATCCACAGGAGTTCTCCTGTTTGCTAAGAGAAGCTGCAAAGATTTCACCCACCTCGTATGATAATCTTAATCTGTCGGCCTTGTCTTTGGTCCTTTCGGTGGGTATACACGAGTGACTGAGCAAAGCTGGGTCTTCCAAGAATTCGTCTCCGCTGACCTGAAAGCAGCTACTTTAGGTTACATCTGACCAAACAAATGAACATACCGAAATTGCAGTGTATTTGCTACCCTTTTTGCAGTGCACACAGATGTACTTCGCAACGTTCTCCTGTGACGTCTTCCGATTGTGCATGAATACGTAAGATCGGGTGCTGCCTGAAATTTCAAACGATAACTTTATGTATGCCCTTTTGGCTTACCTCTCTGACTCCTGGAAATGTACGTGGACACTCACTACGAGTAGTGGAATCGCTAACATTTCCAGGAGGCAGAGTATTAGAGTTCTGCGAGTGTAGTAGCAGCTGGAGTTGTCGTTGTTGCTGAGGTTGTTCCTATCATATACAAGCCATCAACTTGTTTTAATGCCTGCAATACTTGACTGTACCTGACCATCAACCCTTTGTTCAGGGAATGGCTGCATGGGATAATAATGGTTCGGGATAGCCTGGAACTGGGTGGATTTGAATTTGCGAGAGTCTACAAGCATTTTTGAGCCAAACCTGGTCATCAGTCTCGTATTGATATATTGATATATATATATATATACAGGGTGTCCCAAAAAATGTATCGAACGTTTGATCGTTAATATTTCTCTTCCCGAGAAGTCTTTTGCCTTGCTTCAGGTACCGTTTTGTAGAACAGGCTTCAACTTAGATTTGTAATATAGAACGAATCACCCACCTCTCTTTATTACTGTAGGATTACGGTAGAAACTTGAAACATATGGTGTCAATGTGGAAAAAGCTGCCGTTTCAAAATTTTTCAAAAAATTGTGAAAACTTGTGTAATAGGGTTTTTATAGACGCTGAGTTCAATACTCAACTATTCACAAGATTACGAAGCTTTCTAAACGGTGTAATCGCACTTTTTAGGAACATTGAAAAAAAGGCCGCTACCTCTCACCTGGCATAACTCTTCAATGAAGCATCATAGTAAGTTGGGAACTTTACAGTTATAATCAGCAATTCTAATTAGCCTGGTGTAAAAGTTTTCAGGCTGTTTTGTTTCCTTTCTGAGGCAAAATATGGCCTTTCATGGTTCAAAACCCTCTTTGAAGTTTCTACCGTAACCCTACAGTAATAAAGAGAGATGGGTGATTCGTTCTATAATGGAAATCTAAGTTGAAGCCAGCTCTACAAAACTGTACCTGAAGCAACGCAAAAGACTTCTTGGGAAGAGAGATATTAACGATCAAACGTTCTAAACATTTTTTTGGGACACCCTGTATATATTAGGTTGGTCCGAAAGTTCGTTCGCATCATTTTCAAAAAATCATAACTTCTTTTCCTCCCTACGAATTTGCGCAACTCAAATTTCATCAGAAAGCGTAAAGCATGTAGTTTGCAATCGTCCCTCGTAGACTTTCCAGCATGTTCAGACTGCAGAGATAAAAATGAAAGAACGAAAACATGCGAAATTCGGAATTTTTGAGAAACAATTCCAAAAATCTAGAAACTGCGCGATAAAACCCAGAAAAGCCATTAACCTAATTTTTCTTATATTTGATTACTAACTGAGTTAAGTTTGTGCTGATCGAGCTCTTCTTTCAAAAGATATGATTTTTTGAAAAAAAAATCCGAAAAATCACTTTCCTAAGAATTCCTAAGAAATTGATTATTCGGCATTTTTTTTCAAAAATTCATAACTTTTGAAAGAAGAGCTCGATCAGCACAAAGTTAACTCAATTGGTAACCAAATATAAGAAAAATTAGGATAATGGCTTTTCTGGATATTATCGCGTATTTTCTAGATTTCTGCAATTGTTTCTCAAAAATTCCGAATTTCGGATGTTTTCGTTCTTTCATTTTAATCTCTGCAATCTGAACATGCTGGAAAGTCAACAGGGGACTATTGGGAACTACATTCTTTACGCTTTCTAATAAGATTCGAATTGCTCAAAATCATTGTGAGGAAAGGAAGTTATGATTTTTTGAAAATGGTGCGAACGAACTTTCGGACCAACCTAATATATATTAGGTTGGCCCGAAAGTTCTTTCGCATCATTTTCAAAAATTCGCAAATTCTGAATTTTCCAACCGATTTGACCGCTTTTATTTTTATATGAAAGATTAAGTCATGCCCTTTATAATGGCATCTTAGCTGCTTGCTAATGATCATCAGTTGCATAGATAGGAGCGATAGAAGAAAACTGATTTAAATTCGAATTTTTCGTGTACGGTCATAAAAAATCGGAAGCTTGCAACAAAAATCGGAGCAGTCAGTATTGTAGGATCTTTCACCAGCTCTTCCTAACAGTGCAAAGTTTGTGCTGATTGGGCGCTTCTATGAAAAGTTACGATTTTCCTGAAAAATGCCAAAATAAATCAAATTCGCTCTTTTCTATTGTTTGCTCGAAAATCATAACTTTTCATAGAGACGCTCAATCGGCGCAAACTTTGCACAATTAGAAAGAGCAGGCAACAGAACCTATGATAGTGACTGCTCCGATTTTTGTTGCAAGTTTCCGATTTTTTATGACCCTACACGAAAAATTCGAATTTTGACCAATTTTGTTCTATCGCTACTATCTATGCAACAGATGAGCATTAGTAAGCAGCTAAGACGTCCAATTAAAGAGCATGACTTACTCTTTCATACAAAAATAAAAGCAGTCAAATCGGTTGGAAAATTCCGAAGTTATGAATTTTTGAGAATGATGCGAAGGAACTTTCGGGCCAATCTAATATATTAGGTTGAACCGAAAGTTCGTTCGCACCATTTTCAAAAAATCATAACTTCTCTCCGTTACGACGATTTTGCGCAATTTAAGATTTATTAGAAAGCGCAAAGCATGTAGTTTCCAATAGTCCCCTGGCGACTTTCCACCATGTTCAGATTGCAGAGATAAAAATGAAAGAACGAAAACATCCGAAACTCGGAATTTTTAAGCAAGAATTCTAGAAATTCAGAAACAGTGCGATAAAATCCAGAAGAGTTATTATCCTAATTTTTCTTACATTTGATTACTATCTGAGCCAAGTTTATGCTGATCGAGGTCTTCTTTCAGAAGTTATGAATTTTTGAAAAAAATGCCAAAAAATCCATATCTTAAGAATTCTTAGGAAATTAATTTTTCGGCATTATTTTTCAAAAATTCATAACTTCTGAAAGAAGACCTCGATCAGCACAAACTTGACTTAGATATTAATCAAATGCAAGAAAAATTAGGACAATGGCTTTTCTGGATTTTATCGCACTGCTTCTGAATTTCTAGAATTCTTGCTTAAAAATTCCGAATTTCGGATGATCTCGTTCTTTCATTTTTATCTCTGCCACACTGAGCATGTCGGAAACTTCTTAGAGAGCTTTTGGAAACTACATGCTTTACGATTTCAGACACAATTTGAATTGCGCAAAATCGTCATGACCGAAAGAAGTTATGATTTTTTGAAAATGGTGCGACAGAACTTTCGGTTCAACCTAATATATTAGGTTGGTTCATAATTAATGCACGTTTTGAATTTCAACCGCAATAAGTCATACACTTTTCATTCTTATATAGGCTTCAAAGTACCATTGGATAGAGCAAAGCAAGCTCTACAAAATGGCACTCATTTCTTTGCGCCATGCTCGATCCACGGAGAGTTCGAACTCAGAATCTAAAGATTTCCAAATGCCCAAAAAATCGAAAAAAATCAGATCTTCGTCCAAATAATTTCTACGGACCTCCCACTCGCTCACATCAATACTATCGATATCTGATATCCATATGTGCGATTGCCGTATTTTTCCCTTGATTAGAAATTGAGATAACGAAAATTTCCCTGATTTTCTCAAAGCAATGCTGAGCCGTTTTTGCATATGTAGTTCTATACTACAAGCCTAGGTAAGTATAACTGTAGATTTTCAGCCCATTCCAAGCGGTAGTTTTCGAAAAATAACGACTTCGGATTTTTTCGTTTCAGTTTCAGTGCTAAAATCGACATTTCCCGAAACGTACCGTTCGAAATAGGCTGAAAACCTACAGTTATGCTTACCTAGGCTTGTAGTATAGAACTACATATGCAAAAACGGCACAGCATTGCTTTGAAAAAATCAGGGAAATTTTCGTTTTCTCATTCTAGTCAAGGAAAAAATACGGCAATCGCACATATGGATATCAGATATCGATAGTATTGATGTGAGCGAGTAGGAGGTCCGTAGAAATTATTTGGACGAAGATCTGATTTTTTTCGATTTTTTGGGCATTTGGAAATCTTTAGATTTTAAGTTCGAACTCTCCGTGGATCGAGCATGGCGCAAAGACATGAGTGCCATCTTGTAGAGCTTGCTTTGCTCTATCCAATGGTACTTTAAAGCCTATATAAGAATGAAAAGTGTATGACTTATTGCGGTTGAAATTCAAAACGTGCATTAATTATGAACCAACCTACCCTAAAATCCGGCATATAAGATCGCCTCGCAGTAAAGACCGCCTCTCAGATAAGACCGCAGAAGAACTCTCAGGGCCGCATGCACTAACCTCCGCGCTGGGGAGGGGATCGCAGCTTAAAAGAAAGCTTTATATTTCGAAACTCCAGATACCTGGATTTCATGTTGTGTACCTATCCGTAAGTATTTCACTATCCTTAACTATCATGCTGAAGAGGAGCGAGAAGCTGTACGAAGCGCATTTTCCAGCTTTTGAATGATCCCTGATGATCCCCAGCGCTTTTTTTGAAGTCATTTTTCTTTCTCCGAAGTTAACGAAAACTTTTTAAAGCTGTACTGAACATCTAACACAACAATGCTAAGCATGTTGCTGATGAGAACAAAAGAGTTTTTGGAAAGTCGAATTTTGCGGTAAACCTCAAATTTAGACCTGTGGATCATCGAAAATTTCATGACTTCAAAACATCATTTGTTCTTATCACGAACATGCTTAGCACTGTCGGGTTGGATAATCTGCACAACTTTGGAGGTTTTTCGTTAACTTCGGAGGAAGGTAAATGACTCTAAAGAAAAGCGCCGGGGATCATCAGGGATCATACAAAAGCTGGAAAATGCGGTTCGTACAGCTTCTCGCTCCTCTTCAACATGTTCATAGTGAAGGATAGTAGGAATACTTACGGATAGGTACACAACGTGAAATCCAGGTATCTGGAATTTCGAAATATAAAGCTTTCTTTTAAGCTGCGATCCCCTCCCCGCGGGGATGTTAGTGCATGCGGCCCTCAGTTAAGTCCGCTTTCGTGACAGCCTCGCGCGCCTCGCGCGCTGCCAAGTCCCGCGGATAAGTCCGCCTTATTTTTTTCACATGAAAACAAGAAGGATGCGCAATTGCGCTGCCTTTTTTGGTCTCAGAATGAACCGAAGCAACAGATCTTTATTCAGGTAGCATTCCATGTTCATCATCATCAAAATCAAAAGAACGATCATCATCAGCGTTATCATCAGCAACAACCAAAGCGTCGAAATCCTCTTTCATGGCATTGATCATTGATTCGTCATCGAGAGCCCTGGTAAAACTGTTCGCAATGGTCTCTTCAGTAATCGCATTGAAACTCT